TGAAGGACATCTGAACCCAGCAAAAGTTCCTGCTAGCCCAAAATGCTGCTGGGAGCAGGGTGACTCATCTTGGAGCTAGCTCCTGTCTACCTAGAAGGCAACTGGTGGCAAAACACTTGATTTCAGACTAGTTCCTGCTGCTCCAGACAGTGTCTGTGGGCAAGGCTCCCAGACCCAGAAGAAGTTTCTGCCAGTCCAAAAGGTGATTGGGAGCAAGGCACCTGTTTCCAGAGGGAGTTCCAGCCAGCTCAAAAAGCAGCTGTGGGCAGGGCCTCTAGACCAAGACAAAATTTCTGCTGTTTCAAAAGTAACTGGGAACAGAGCCCCATTCCCAGAAAAAAAGTTCCTGCTGTCTCAAAAGCCAGCTGGATGTAGGGTATCTGGTCTCAGAAAAATTACATATTGGCCCAAAAGGTGGCTGGGAACAGGGCACCTAGTGCTGGGACCAGTTCCTGCCTGCCCAGAAAGCAACTGTTTGCAGGACACCAGACTGAGACGAAATTCCTGCCAGTCCAGAAGGTGGGTAGACGTGGGGGATGGCCACACATCTGCTCACCAAGAGGGTGTGGACTACAAGGGTAACAAGGGGAATATCGTACCTTTCTACTTGTCAGCCTCTAGTGTGGATGCCCATGAGGTCTTTGGCAAGTGGAGACTATTCTTTGGTTGCTGCCTGGATCAGAATGCAGCTTTCAATTATTCAAAATGGCTGTGTCAACATGAAAGCCTGCAGTCCATAGTTCTGTTTATCTTCTTTTTCACTGTTTTCCTTTCTAGTCCTCAGCCACCCATGTGGTTGCACATGCTATCTGCGGTATGCAAAGCCAATTCTTAGGTTCCTGCCCAGATCAGAATGCCACTTGTAAATATTCAAATTGGCCATGCCATCAGGACAGCCAACAGTCTGCAGCTTCATTTGTCTCCTTATTCACTGTTTTCATTAATGTTCTTCTACTTGTTGTTGGTATTTAATCTACTTTTTTATCCTTCCCTTCAAAACTCAGGGTCCAATATTCTGTATCTGTTTCAAATGGTTCTTTGTTTCTTTGCTATAGAGGGTCTGTGTAGCTTGTCTGCCTATTCTGCCATTTTGCCAGAAGTCCATTGCAAATATCTTTTTTTTCAACAACATAAACAGCAACTATAAATGTGGAGCTCACCAGATGGAATACACTGGAATCAAAGTAACTACATCTGGGGAAAGAGACAATGGAGAAGCTCAATATCATCAGTCAGAACAAGGCCAGGAACAGCCTTGTATTGATCCTTCTAAAATAACTTATTTGAGCAATGAAGGAAATAGACTTTTCTACAAGTGATGCTAGAGCAACTGTACATCCACAGACCAAAAAAAGAGTAAAGAATGTCTGCCTTGAGCATTGTGTTCTCTTAAAGAACTGTCTCTATGGAATTAAATTGACAACAGCAAGTAGAAAGGTTAGACAAGAAGGTTAAAGGGCACTGAATGTAGCAAATTATGTTAATTTGAGTTTAACTAAGTTTCACATTTTCTACAATAATCAATTCAATTGGATCACAGACTTAAATGTAAAATGTAAATCTATAAAACATTTAGGGGGAAAAAAAAACCTTAGGAGAAAATCTTCAAGATCTATGGCTCAGCAAAGTGTTCTTAGAGTTGATACCAAACCATGATCCATGAAAAACAAAATTGATGTACTGGACTTCATCAAAACTAAAAAAAATTTTGCTCTGCAAAAGACCACGTTAAAATAATGAAAAATAAACTACAGATTGGGAGAAAATATCTGCAAACCTCATATTGACAAAGAATTAAAAAAAAAAACAAAACCAAAAAAACCAGTGCTTCCAAAGACCTCTCCAAAAGAGTCAAAAGAGAGCCTACAGATTGGGAAAACATATTCAAGAATAACATATCTGACAAGGGACTTATCTCTAGAATTTACAGAAAACTCTAACACCTCAACAACAAAAAGACAAATAATCCCATTAAAAAATGGGCAGAAGACATGAATAGACACTTCACCAAAGAGGATATTCAGGCAGCCAACAAACATATGAAGAAATGCTCATGACCATTAGCCATTAGAGAGATGCAAATCAAAACAACAATGAGATACCATCTTGCCCCAGCACTAATAGCAAAGTTCAACAAGACAGAAAATAACAAATGCTAGTGAGGATGTAGAGAGATTGGTACTCTCATACACTGCTGATGGGACTGTCAAATGATACAACCACTGTGGAAAGCAGTATGGCGATTCCTTCAAAATTTGGAAATAGAAATACCATTTGACCCAGCCATTCCATTACTAGGTATATATCCTAAAGAAGAGCCAGGACAAGAACAGATATATGTACACCCATGTTCATTGCAGCACTATTTACAATAGCAAAAACATGGAAAGAACCATCAACAGAAGAATGGATAACCAAACTATGGTACATACATACAATGGAATACTATGCAACCCTAAAGAATAACATAGGATCTGCAAAACACTGCATAACATGGATGAACTTGGAGGACATTATGCTGAGTGACTTAAGTCAATCACAGAAGGATAAATATTGCATTAGTCCATTATTGTAAAAAGTCAAGGAAAGGTTTATACATGGAAGGAAATTTTCTTTCTTTGTTACCGGGTTGGGAGGGGAGTGGAGGGAACACTGTTAGATAGGTAGAGACAAGTATTGATTTGGGTGAAGAGAAGGGCAATGTAGCAAATGTGAGTGATCAACACAGTGGCACTGAGGAAGAGAAAGACATACAGAGGTGCACGGGAGGTACAAATAACAAAGATGAATCCTTTTGCACATACAGTACTGCGTTGTCAGTGAAGGCAAACATTAATATATGTACAGGTGGATAGATGGGAGGATAGGCTAAACTATTAGGTATGTCTATGCAGGAGCAGTGTGCCCAGGACCATGTATATGGTTGACAGACAATGTTTTTACAAGAGTATTTATATATTCTCTAAGAATTCCCAGGTATATAGTAGAACATATATATATATGTTCTATATATAGACAAGAGATAAGGTTATAGTCACTTCTTGGCCACAGCCAGCTACCCAGAGGGAGCAAGTAGTTGGACCTGTGGGCTCAGGACCATAGTCACAGGGGACATCAAGCTCAATTGGCATAACAAACTACACAAAAACATTGTTCGACCTCCTACTTTGGTGAGTAGCAACTGGGATCTTAAAAGCTTGCAAGTGGCCATCTAGATGCAACAATGAGTGTCTGTTCATCCAGAACAAAGAATAATTAAGGAAGATTCATGCAAACAATTAGTCCAAGTGACTGGTACACCATGTGATCCTCAGCCTATACTACTATGAGACCAGAAGAACTACATGGTGCCTGGCAACCACTGTCAACCACTCGAAGGGGGATCTATGTAGGAGATCCTGGAGAGAGTGGGAGAACAATGTGGAACAAAACTCAAACTCATTTGGAGAAAAAAAAAAAAAAAAAAAAAAGGATCAGATTTGCTGGTCTGATAGAGCCTGGTGGAACAACTGAGACTATGGCCCCTAGCTGTCCTTCAGGTCTGGAATTGAACCCATGCCTGTGGCTTCTAGCCAAACAAAAGACAAGCATATGAGGTGAACATTTACACTAGGTAGATACATTCCTTGGAGGGAACAATCATGGGAGAATAGAAGGGCTGTGTATGCACAGGGACATAGCTTAGGGGGCAGCAGTGTATGGAGGGAAGGACACAGGGAAGAGGTAAGTATGGGGAGGAAGTGGAAGCGGAGCTGTTGCATTGTGGTAAATTGTAGCCAATGTCATGAGACAAAGTGTATTTGAACTGCTGTATGGAAAGTGAATTTGCTCTGTAAACTTTCACCCAAATCACAATTAAAAAAAAAAAAAAAGCTACCAAATGCAGTGAAATATGGATAAAATCCAGGAAAACCATGGAAGTCTTCCTAGACCTCTGCTGATCTCAGGCTGAGGGCAGAGGTCTCCAAAATGGGATTAATGAAGAGTGGGACCTTGGACCTGGGTGGTGCAAACGGTTTGTTTGGACTACTAACCTAAAGTTTGTCAGTTAGAACCCACCCAGCAGCACTGCAGGCTGATGATCTGGCAGATTCCCTAAGGATTAACTCTATGGAGCAATTCTGCTCTGTAATATAGTGTCGCCAAGAGTTAGAATTGACGCTATGGCAACAGGTTTCTGGGGTCCTTTGTGAACTAGCCACTAGGGAACCAGAACCCCTGCCTGGAGACTGGACACTGCCGGATAAGGCTGGAGTGTGGATGTGCGAGTGTGTGTGATTTTCTGGGAGAATACCAAACTCAAAGCCCGCTGTCATGGAGCCACCCACGCATGGTGATCTCTTTAGGGTTTTCTTGGCTGTAATCTGTACAAAAGCAGATTGCCAGGCCTTTCTTCTGCAGAGTCACTGGGTGGGTTACAACCGACAACATTTTGGTCAGGAGCCCACTGCAAACCAGTTGCACCACCTAGGGACCTGGGAGGATACAGACCTGACTTATTAACTGTAGTCACCTGAGTGGATGGAATATGAGAACAAAGAAGTGGTAAAGAGAGACTTCGGCTCTTTGAATTTTCTTTTCCAAGGATAAATTCCTGCATTGCTGGTGTCAGTATTTCAAAGTCCCGTTTTTAAAAACAGAAGCAAACTAAGTGTTGCAGATGCTTTGCGGAGGAAAGTTATGGGTCTCAGCTTCGAATCCCGCTTCCGCTCAAAATTCGTTCCTTAACCTCAAAGAAATCGCTTTAGTTCCATCATTTGTAAAAAGGTGATAATTATCACCAGCCGGCCGGACACCACAAGGATCAGCGGAAAAGAGCTTTGCAATTTGGGGGCTCCAATTCAGACTCAGAAACCTCGCCCCAATCAAGGACTGCCGCGCCGATACCGCGGGGCATCTCGGGATTTGTCGACCAGCCTGACGAACTCGCAGTCCCGGCAGGCCTAGCGGCGGCGGCAGGACTACGTGGCGCGGCCGACTGCGGCTGCACCGGCAGGTGGGGCAAGATGGCTGCAGAGCAGGGCGTGCGGGTCGTTGGGCCTGGGGCTGGAGCGGGCCTGGGCAAGGTGGTGCGGGCCCTCCTGCTGCTCCTGTATTTTGCTGCCCGCAGCAGCGCGCTCTATTTTCACATCGGGGAGACGGAGAAGAAATGCTTTATTGAGGAGATTCCGGATGAGACCATGGTCATAGGTGCGGGGGAGGGAGGAAGTTTGGAAGAGACTGCGGTCTTGGGGCAGGGGGTCTAGGAGAGTCTGGTGTGGAGAGCCAGGAGTAGCTGACCTCAGTGTCCTGGCGGCCTCAGCCACAGAGCCGCCTCGCGCTTTTCTGACCAGGGCTTTCCCTGCTTCCCTCCAGGAAACTACCGGACGCAGCTCTATGACAAGCAGCGAGAGGAATACCAGCCAGCCACCCCCGGGCTTGGCATGTTCGTGGAAGTCAAGGACCCAGAGGATAAGGTGAGCCAGCCCCTTACCCCGTCTAGCCCTGTGCCCTGCACTTCAGCGCCAGGCGAAGCAGGCGCTGGGACTTCCTCACTTCGTTTCCGCATCTGCTGCTAGGAAAAGACAGTTGCTATAGTGAGAAGACCAGAAGACTGGCGGGTCAAACCCACCAGCCACTCCTCGGAAGGAAGGTTGGGCAATCTACTTCCGTAGTGATACTGCCTCCCAAACCCAAGGAGGAGTCGCTATGAGTCGGATCCCACTCGACAACAGGGAGTTTGGTTTGGTTTATAGTGAGAAGAGCCCTGATTTTCATTTCAGGCAAACTTAGGCTGCCACGGTCCTAGCTGCTCCCTAAACTTTTTACTAACTGACTGCTACCTGATTTCATCGAATCTGTTAACTTTCTTGACCCATTTTCCTGGTCTGTGAAGTGTAAATACACTTATCTCATAGGTGTGGATAGATTAACTGCAGTGATGGAAAATGAAGGATTTTTGTCACCTTTAAAACTGTGATGCCTAGACTTTGGAATTTCGGGAACAGGTTACTTTCCAAAAAGAACAAGCAACTTTTAGTTTTCACAAATAAGTTTTTTTTTTTTTTTTAAACAAAAACAAAAACTCTTGTGCTATCATCTTCTGTTACCTTTCAAAAAAAAAAAAAAAACTGCCCACCAAAAGAGAAGATGTTCCCAAGAGCTGTCACCTACCAACTCAATACCAGTATCTCCATCCAGGCCCAGTAGTTCTCAGACAAACAAACAAACACAAAAAACCCAAACTCACTGCTGTCGACTTGATTTCAACTCATAGCAACCCCTCCTTGGGTTTCCAAGGTGGTATCTCTACAGAAGTAGATCGCCCAATCTTCCTTCCGAGGAGTGGCTGGTGGTTTTGAACTGCCAGCTTTCTGGTTAGCAGTCAGATGCTAACCAGAGCTCAGGCAAGCATTTGGCAAATACTGCTGAGCAATTTTGGAACTTTCAGTGTTGTGAGGTGCCCAAGGCTCTTTTGTCAACTTCTGTGGCACCCATGGTGTAAAGCATCATTTTCTTCTGACCCCCTCCCTTCTGTATCACTGAAACCCCTTCCCTTCCTTCAGGTCATTCTGGCTCGGCAGTATGGCTCTGAGGGCAGGTTCACTTTCACTTCCCATACCCCCGGTGAGCACCAGATCTGTCTTCACTCAAATTCCACCAAGTTCTCTCTCTTTGCTGGAGGCATGCTGGTAAGTCGAACTGTTTGGGACTAGTAGTTCTCAATTTCTTGCCCCGGTCAGGACTGGGGACTGGTGTACTGTGGGTGTGAGATGAGTATGTGAGATTTCATATCTCCTAAAAAGGCTAGGTTTCTAGTGGGCATAAAGGACATGGTTACTGAACTCATTGTATAGCTGTCAGTCAGAGCAGCAGCCAAAGCTTCTTATTTCTGCGCGTGTGCCCAGAGTCTCACAGGGCTGGACACTGAGGAGACCATAGTCAGTGATGGCTAAATGAATAAAGGAAAGAAGGTAGGAGATCAGCTGCCAGTCCTGGCAGGAGGATGGAGCAGGCTTCTTGATTCTCCTTATGTCCCTTGTCTGTCCCCAGAGAGTTCACCTGGATATCCAGGTGGGTGAACATGCCAATGACTATGCAGAAATTGCTGCCAAAGACAAATTGAGTGAGTTGCAACTACGAGTGAGACAGTTGGTTGAACAAGTGGAGCAGATTCAAAAAGAGCAGAACTACCAGCGGGTAAGTGGTTGGCAAAGAGCAGTGGGCTTCTTCCCAGAAACTGCCCATTAGCTTACCTAAGAGATTCATTATGAAGCCTCAAGGGACTATGACTTGTGCATCTTTACCACTTCATTGCAATACTAGAAGGTGGGGTGGGTGTTATTATTGATTCTACTTTATTATTGAAGACTGCAAAAAGGGTGTGGGAGCATTGTGGTCTTATCTCTCTAATTTCATGATGCAGGAGAGAGAATCACTATCAGCAGCAACAGCCCAAGGTTGAGGCAAAAGTCAGACATACCACCACCCTCCAACCTTTTAATCAACTCTGACACTGACATCCCTCACATGGTACTCTCTACTTCTCTTAGAGATGATACTCACAATTACGGGGTTTATTAAGAAAGTAATAGGTTACAATTCAGAATAAGGAACAACCCAGGATATAATTCTTTGCCTCTCTCTGGCCTTGGCCTCTGTCCTGCTTGGGCAAGTGTTACAAAGCTCTTTCAGCTCTGCCTGTAGGTGCCCAGAGAGGCATCCTACTCCACCAGCAAACCTCCTGCCCAAAGGCACTCAGCTTTCTTGCTCTGTGAGCGAGGAAGCCTGCCACTTTGTTTCATACCAGTGTCTCGGTTTTGCTGCCTCTGCTACTGCTACTTTCTGTTTCACGCTGTCTCTGCAAAGTATTACAGCTCTCTCTGTCTCCTGAGTAGAGGAGGTTCAACACAGGAATCTTGAGTTGAAAGGATGCATTCCACTCCTAGCTCTTCTTTCTTGATGCTAGTAAGAACCCCCTCTTTGAACTTCTGAGATGGCTCATTTTAGGCCTAGTGACATGGCAAAACTGACCAATCCCCACATTAGGGTTCTATGTACCTTATTTCTGTGATCCCACCCCAACAAGGGTGCTGTGTGCCTTATTTACATTATTAACAAGTTATCGGTGGGCCATAAGTACCTCACATTTGCATGGTTCTATCCACCCAGTTATCTGGTGCATAGCTAGAAGGGCCATATTAAATAAATTACTGCACTGCAAGGACATACTTCTAAGAGGCTGTCATCACTCTAAGTCACATAGTAGATGACGGAGTGAAAATTGATACCAATACTCTTGGGTGGTGTTTCCATGGTCCCAGCTGCTCTAGGATCAGGAATCTAAAACTCACCTGTGTCCAAGAACCAGGTAAATACTGTGAATGAGTCTGTGAGCATAGGGACCAGTAGGACAGTGACTCAACTAAACAGGAGCCCTTACTTTCAGGGCCAGCTGAGGGCTACCTTGCAGAAATGCCAACCCTGGCTTGGTCAGATCTTTCAGTCTTTTATTTGAAATCTTCCTGTGCTTTAAATGTTGACAACTAATTAAAATTTTAAAACACTGTGGGCACAAAAACAGAATGTACATATAGGCTAGATCTAACACTGGGCCACCAGTTGGCATCCAGTGCTCACTGTCTTCAAGGTGCTTTTTGGGAGACCTGAGCAGAGGGCTCAGAGCATGTCTACTCCTTGGTGCCCGAGGATAGCCTTGCCCTCTGAGGTGATAGTACAACTACTTTACCTCTCTCCCAGGCACAGAGCAGGACCAGGTGGGGTCTGTACCTCACAGATGAGGTACAGAATTAGGAGAAATAAGTGGGTTGTCTGCAGTTATCTGGCTGGTGGGGGTGAAGACAGTTCCCAGGTAACGCCTAACTCTGCCCAGGTGAGCAGCCTTGGGTGGGGCCCAGCCAATTCAGGTTCCTTTTCTGTTTTCCCCTCACGCAGTGGCGGGAGGAGCGCTTCCGGCAGACCAGTGAGAGCACCAACCAGCGGGTGCTGTGGTGGTCCATCCTGCAGACCCTCATCCTCGTGGCCATTGGCGTCTGGCAGATGCGGCACCTCAAGAGTTTCTTTGAGGCCAAGAAGCTTGTGTAGTCATCCCAGGCCTTACAGGCCATCCTTCCTCCCAGGCTGGGGGAGAAAGGACCTGCTGGAACTGATTGCTCTCTGGCAAGAGGACTATTCCCAGCCCTGGATGCTCTGGAGGGACTAGGGGTTGCAGGCACCTCCAGAAACAAGCTGAGGGCAGCACCTTGGCTGGCTGCTACTTAGCAGGTGGTGGGGCAAATGCCTGCACCCTCCCCTGGGCTCTGGGCCCTGTGCAGTAATCACCAGGGGCTGGCAAAGCCCCTGGGAACCCATTGGCACCTCAGAATCACAGTGTTACTGATCAGGGATGTGGGCCTACTGTCAGGTTGGAGGGGTGGGGGAGGGGTTGGGCAAGCCAGTCTTTCTAATGTCTTTGCTAACTGGGGGTTTTGCTAACTAGAGATTTTGAGCAGGTTGTGATGTGGCTGTGACTTTGTGCCACCTTGGGAATTTCACTGTTACCTCCTTCACCCTAGGCCCAGCCTGCTGATCATGGTGTGTGTGTCAATTGAGGGTGGGGTGGAGGGAGTGGCAGTGTAGGAAAGTGGCCCTGAGGTTGACCCCAACTACTTCACATGGTTTGTTTTGAATTGTGGTCAAGTCAAGCAGGTCTTTGTGTTGGTTGGGAATGGGTCCTGCAGGATCTGTGTTACTGATTTCATTTTCAATAAGTCTAGGTTTGTTATATTGGTTTCCCAATTAAAAAAAGAAAAAAAAAAAAAGACTTGTCCACTGTGAAGTTACTCTGTAGTTAGTGGGCATGACACTGAGGTGCTTGTGTGTTCTCCCAATGGGCAAAGACTTCACATTCCAAGAGAAATCCCCACCTAAGAACTTCATTCTTTCCATTCTGTCTACTCCTTACATGGAGTAGTGGACTTGCCCAAGACCATCCAATTGAATTGGATTGGGCCTCTGATTCACACCATTTCTTTTGGACCAGCTCCCTCTGAGATGCCCCCTCCCCTTATGCAGAGTCAGTGGATAGAGTCATCGTGGGTGCTGCAGCAAGGTGCCAGTAAGGGATGGTATGGTGCACTGAGCAGAGCAGTGCTACAGGTGTGGTAAGGACAAGTTTGGCTGTCGGGGTGGTGATACTGATGGGTTTCAGCAAGGACTTTATAGAAAGGATTCTGATGGAAGGAAAAGACAGGGCACCTGCCTTAGTTACCTAGTGATGCTATAATAAAAGTACCACAAGTGGATGGCTTAAACAAGCAGAAACTTCCTCTTACAGTTTAATAGGCTGGAAGTCCAGATTAAGAGTGCTGGCTCTAGGTAAAGGCATCCTCTTTGTTGGTTCTTGGGGAAGGTACTTGTCTCCTTTCAACATCTGTGGGTCTGGAGTTCCTTGGAGATCTCTGTATGTGTTGGCATCAGTCTTCCTTTGGGTCTAGCAGGTTCCTAGCACAGGAGCCCTGGGTCCAAAGGACATGTTCTGCTCCTGGCTCTTCTTTCTTGGTGGTAGTAGGTCCCCCTTTCTTTGTTCACTTCTCTCCTTTTATCTCTTAGAAGGTAAAAGGTGATACAGGCCACACCCCAGGGAAACTACTCACACTGGATCAGGCCTGTAACCTGATTAAGAGTGTTACACTCCACCAACTGATTGGTTGATCACATCAGATCACATCATGGAGGGTGAGTGTATAATTTCATAACTGCCAAATCACATCATTACGTAACTGTCAAACCACAGACTCATGGCCCAGCCAAGTTGACACATACTTTGGGGGGGACACAATTTAGTCCTTAATAGCAGTGACAGTTGGAAGCAGGGTAAACAGCTGGTATAGAGATACAGGAACGTTCTGTTTCAGCTGAAGGGAGGGTTGGGTTAGAGTTGGAAGAGCCCCAGGTAAGAGTGGAAGAACCCTGAAGATAAGTTGAGGGATGTTAATCTGGCTGTAGTATGTAACAGTGTCAGGAGTCCTTTAACTTCAGGAGGAGGAAGGGGAAGCCGATTGCTATGAGGTGGAGGTCTCTGTCTCCAGTATTATAATTCTGTCTCCTAAGTCTAGGAGGTTCTCAGTACAGGGACCCTGGGTCCAAGGGATGTGCTCCATTCCCAGCACCTTGATCATAATGAGGTACCCCCCCAACCTCTGTGGAATTGTTACGTGCTGTCGCATCGGACCCGACTCAGCAACCTTTCCTTGGGTTTCCAAGGCAGTATCACTATGGATGTAGGTTGCCCAACCTTCTGAGGAGTGGCTGGTGGGTTTGAACCGCCAGCCTTCTGGTTAGCAGTCAGGTACTTTAGGCACTATGCCACCAGAGCTCCTTCTGTAGAATTAGCCCTTTAATAAGCCTATGCCTCCCACAAAGACCACAAACTGACTAATCCTCTTCGTAGGCATCTAATTTGCATAGTAATCAACCAGTCCCGCAAGGATTTTGCACACCTTATTTGCATAATAAACTGGTCCCTCTGCAAGACTGGCCCAGCAAGTCATTTTCGTAGAACTACAAACCCAGGGCTAGAAAGACCATATATAAAGAGAAACTTGTTGCACTGCACTGTTATTGTGCACGAGACTGGAGATGGGGAGAAAAATTTGGGGTCTACTTGATTGCATTAGCCCTGCTAGAATGATGGAATATGAGCTTATGTTACCATCTAGGCCTTCTCCACATTAATAATAAAATTATTTTTAAGAACAGCTTTAGAATTACAGAAATATTGCAAAGATACCTCTTGCCACCACGTCAATTCCACCTCATGGCAATACCATGTGTTACAGAATAGAACTCTGTAGGATTTTCTTGGCTATAATCATCACGGGCACAGATTGCCAGGCCTTTCTTATGCAGAGCTGCTGGGTGTATTCAAACCCTTAACCCTTAACCTTTTAAGTGCAAACTGCTTGTGCCACCCAGGGACTCCTATTGCTTTATTAACTCCTTTATTAACATCAAACATTAGTATGGTACTTTTATTACTATTAATGAATCAATATAATACATTATTTTTTTACTAAAATCTATTTTCAACTTCCTTAGTTTTATTTTTTCCCTTATATTTTTATTAGTAAAGTATTTAAAAGAAAACATATTTACAAAGCATATTCATTTTACATTCAACAATTCATACACATTTTGTTTTGCGCTACTGATTATAATCCCCACAATATAACAGTTCTCCTCCCCCTTCTTCCCTGTGGTCACCCTTTCCCTATGCATTCTCTCCTGTGCATTCCTGCCACCCTAACCTTCTCCCAGTGCAAATGCCCTTCTCATTACCCATGGTTGACTGTTCTAAGGAGTGCATCTCCATGGTGTAGTTGTTCAGCTCGTAGTCCTATCTGTTGTTTGGCTGAAAGTTAGCCATAAGAATGAGTCCAATTCCAGACCTGAAGAGTGACTAGGGACGGTAGTCTTGGGAGTTTCACCAACCAGTAATACTGGTCTTTTTTATGGTTTTTTATTATTATTTTCCACATTTTTCTCCCACTCTATCCAGGATCTCCAATTGATCACTTTGCAAGTTGTGAGCAGTGGTAGCTGGGTACCATCTAGTTCTTCTGGTCTCAGGGTCATACAGGCTGAGGTTCTATAATTGTTTCCATGGGTCTTTGATTTTCTTCTCTCTTTGCTCTGGATGAGGTGAGACCAGACTTCCTTGTTGATAGGTGCCCTTGAGTTGGCTCCAACTCACAGAAACTCTACGTACAACAGAACAAAACACTGGCCATCCTCAAAATCCTTGCTATATTTAACCCATCACTGCAGCCACTGTGTCAATCCATCTTGTTGAGGGTCTTCAGCTTTCTCACTGACCCTCTACTTTACCAAGCATGATATCCTTTTCCAGGGACTGGTCCCTCTGACAACATAACAAAATTGTTGTTGTTAGGTGCTGTCAAGTTGTCTGCGACTTGTAGTGACAAGTACAGCAGAATGAAATACTGTCTGGTCCTGTGCCAACCCCACAATCTTGGCTATACCTGAACCCGTTGTGGCAGCCACTGTGTCAATCCATCTCGCTGAGGGCCTTCCCCTGTTTTGTTGTCCTTCCACTTTACCAAGCATGATATCTTTCTCCAGGGAATGATCCCTTCTTACAACATGACCAAAGTAGGTAAGACAAAGTGATCATTCTCACTTCCAAGGAACATTACAGCTGCACCTCTTCCAGGACAGATTTGTTAGTTCTTTTAGCAGTCCATGGTACTTTAAACATTCTTCAACGCCACAACTCAAAGCATTGTCTCTTCTTTGGTCTTCCTTATTCATTGTCCAGCTCTCACATGCATACGAGGTGATTGAAAATACTATGACCAGCGTCAAGCGCACCTTATCCTTCAAGGAAATATCTTTGCTCTTCAGCACTTGAAAGGGGTCCTTTGCAGCAGACTTGCCCAATGCTATATGAAGTCTGATCTCTTGACTGCTGCTTCCATTGGTGTTGATTGTAGAACCAAGTAATACGAAGTCTTTGACAACTTCTTTTCTCTACTTATCATGATGCTGCTTATTGGTTCAGTTGTGAGGATTTTTGTTTTCTTTATATTGAGGTGTAATCCATACTGCAGACTGTAGTCTTCAGTCTTCATCAGTAAGTGTTTCAAGTCATCCTCACTTTGAGCAAGCAAAGTTGTGTCATCTGCATAACACAGGCTGTTAATGAGTCTTCCTCAAATCCTGATGCCACATTGTTCTTCATATAGTCCAGCTTTTCTGATTATTCAGCATACAGATTGAATAAGTATGGTGAAAGGCTACAACTCTGACACACTCCCTTCTTGGTTTTAAACCATGCAGTGACCCCTTGTTCTGTTCAAATGACAGCCTCCTGCTCTATGTACAAATACCTCATGAGCACAATTAAGTGTTCTGGAAATCCCATTCTTCTCAATATTATCCATAATTTGTTATGATCCACACAATCGAATGCTTTTGCATAGTCAATAAAATGCAAGTAAACATCTTTCTGGTATTATTTGCTTTGAGCCAAAATCTATCTGAAATCAGCAATGATACCCCTCATTCTATGTCCTCTTCTGAAACCTCTTGCATTTCTGGAAGTTCTCTGTCAATATACTGCTATAACTGTTTTTGAATTATCTTCAGTAAGATTTTACTTGCGTGTG